CGGTGCTGCGGTACAGCGGTACGGGTGTAGCAAATATAAAAACATGTGACGTCACCTAACCGAAATTGTTTGGCGAATTTTACTCTCCCTTCTCCCTCGCTCTCGCTCATGCTATGTACGTCACCAGTCGACTTTTTCTTTCAAAAAGTTTGCTACCACGCATTTGCCACCAGGTAGCGCTGCGGCGTTTAATCGGTCATAGAAAGGCAGGCTCTATCAAGCATTAGACTAAAGCTAGGTTCTACAATTGCTTTTTCACGTACGTTATATTTATACGAATGCTAGTTGGACAGCATGTATGTGTGGTGGGAATTGCTTCCATCATTCTACAGCGTGAGGACTCGATTGTACAAAGCGCTAGCTGGGGATGCCATGTTCAATGCCATGGGGATACCATGTTCAATGCCATAGGGATACCATGTTCAATGCCATGGGGATGCCATGTTCAATCCGAAAGCGCTGAATGGGGGAATGGTTTTAACTTCACTGGCAGCCTCGACTGTTGGTATCGGGAGGTGAAGGGTTCACCGCTTTTCTCACTGCATGGCAACCCACTCTGTTCATCACAGGTTGTGTGGTTGTCTTCTCTGGCATCCAAGTTATACAGCGAGGCCTTGCGAGTTCTTTCCTCATAATAAATCTAACCCGCTCATGATTTTAAATGCGCTAACAACGAGCCATGAGGCCTTATTGGATTAAATACAATCATATACGAAACCGTCATCAAATTATGATGTTCGAAAATAGACTCAGCTAATCGGCGAAGGGCAGCAGAGATCTGATTTATGATTAATCCAATGAGAATGCGTCGATTGAGGGACAGATGAACAGGGCAGCTGACTAGCAGGACGCTGGAGTCTCTACGGTATTACAGGGAGGGGGAGATGTGATCGACACAAAATGTGTGTGTGTGTGTGTGTGTGTGTGTGTGTGTGTGTGTGTGTGTGTGTGTGTGNTCTATCTATCTATCTATCTATCTATCTATCTATCTATCTATCTATCTATCTATCTATCTATCTATCTATCTATCTATCTATCTATCTATCTATCTATCTATCTATCTATCTATCTATCTATCTATCTATCTGTCTGTCTTTCTCTCTCTCTCTCTCTCTCTTTTTTCTTTTTTTTTCTCTCTCTCTCTCCCTCATGCGCGCTCCTTCTCTCTCCCTGTTTTCCCTCCTTCTTCCGGTCTCACTCTCTTGCTCGCGCTCGCTCGCTGTTTCTCTTTCTCTCTCGTTCTCTCTATATCTCCTTTCTCGAGCTTTCTCTCCCGCTCACTCTCCCTCTCGTTCGCTCCCTTTCCTTCTCCCTCTGTCTCCATCTCTTCCCCCGTTCGTTCCCTCACGCCCTCCCGCTCTCCGTCCTCTCTCTACGTAACTGCTCGCTCAGGTTAAACACGCGTTTTTCTATGAGCATTGTCGTGACCAGGAGCGCAGCGGCAGTGGCGACGACGTGTCACCGGCCGAGCTCAGCCTCTTCAATTCATGGCGTCGTATTTACGGAAACGTCGGCTTTGGCTTCATAATATACGTATATACTCGCCTCCCTCCCGCGCTCACGAATTATTGATAGCAAATAACAATGCTGCGCTTTGAAAACGAACCCATTCAGAAGTCAGGCGAGCGCGTTGCTTGCAGTACAAATAGGAGCGCGGCAGGGCGTCCGAGATAGCGCCTGCCTGCCAGCATGTATAATGTACGCCTGATAGGCGTGAACGCCGGCCGCCATTGTTCGCGTGTCATTACTTTTATATATAGAGAAATTAAACTATTTTTCTAATACTATTTTCGTCTCTCTCCATTTTGCGCTTTTTCTCTGTCTCTTTCGCACGCGCGCTCACTCACTCCTACCCCCTCCCCTCCCTCTTGCTCTCTCACTCCCTCTATCTCTGTCAGTGCGATATCAGGTTCCATGTCGCTTACAGCAAGGCATTCTAACGTACTGTCATATATTCATATGTACAACAATAATCATATATATATATATATACATATATATATATAT